GAATCTTGATGTGAATGGAAGGGGAGAGGGAGTTGGCAAGGGGAGGGTTGTGGGTGGGAGGGACGTTATGGGGGGGAAGCCATTGTACTCCATAAGCTGTACTTTGAAAATTTATATTCATTAAATAAAAGTTAAAAAAATAAATAAATGAAGAATTACTTTTTCATTTTCATGGACAGCTGTGACTATAATAAGACTAGATTGTATGGATTATCCATCCAACAGCATAACTACTCTGTCTGTAGAAAATATATTGAGAATATGTATTTGTCACTGTTATTCTATACTATTATTCACCTTTTTAAGAGAAGTCTCTGAAAAATGAAGTATAACTATAGCTTCACATTGGTAAACTGTGCATACAAGGTTATTTATGCAAATTTTTTTTAATTATAGCATCTTTATTGAAAACATGGTTACAGTAAGCCATTGTGAATGTCTTCCTGAAAAGTCAAGCAACCCAGTGTTTTGTTACTGATCCAAAATACCATGAAATTCCTAAGATATTGCAATGTATTTGGTATCTTACTCATCAACCGCTAATCTCTGATCTTCACTCTGCTCTATAAATAAAGTTCCCTTGTGTCCGTCAGTTGAAGAATGCAAATGTCTTCCTTGCTCTCTGTTTTTATTTTTTCCCTCTAGTTGTTATTGCTGTTGTTTTCCTGAGTGCCAGGTACTTCTGGGTATTACAAAGAAGGAGTGAGTAGCAAAATCAGAATATCCAGCAGAAGATAAAGCTTTGTTACATTTAATCTAGTCAAGATTGTCAAGTTTCAGAGTTGTGGCAAAGATATATAACTTCCTCCACTCCACTCACAAAAGTGGCTGTTTAATGAAGATCAGAATGATAAACTGCTGAATTTTCCCAATGCTCCTTTTATTAGGCTGTGTCAAATTACACATTTGTACAAAAAATTTATTCCAGTTAGTCATGTTAAGTTCTCAAAGATATGCTCTGAGTCTATTGAAAGAACAGATGATATCATTTAGTTAAAAACAGTAAGAAAAATTGGTTAGAAGAGTGGGCATTTAGCCACATGGTTAAAATGCTTGTAAAGAGCTCATATTCCACATCAGAATACCTAGTTGGATTCCTAACTGCAGCTCCTCACTTCAGCTGCTTGCTAATGCAGACCCTGGAAGGCAGTGGTGACATATCAAGTAATTGGGTCACTTCCACCAATGTGTGAGACTTGGATTGAGTTCCTGGTACCTGGCTTTAGCCTGGCCCAGCTCTGGCTGTTGTGGTCGTTTGGGGAGTGAATTAACCAGTGGAAGATATTCTCATTCTCTCTCTCTCTCTCTCTCTCTCTCTCTCTCTCCCTCCCCAATCTGTTTGTCTCTAGATCTCTTAAATAACTTTTAAAAAATGGGTAGGAAGGGTTTCATTAACTCAACTTTCTTTTAAATGTCAAGAACTGTGAAATGTTTGAGATTTTATCCTGTTAGTAAGGTAAGATGTTAGCCTGTCAGTTTCATAGATAGTGACAAAAGACATGAGCCTTCTAAATCAGAGACAAAGAACTTATTATTCATGACCAAGAAAAACAGCATGTGTTTCATATTTGCATTAGTTCCCTTTGTACCCAAAGTCATACAGGGGTGATACAGAGTGGCATATATGGATACTGCATACATATTGAGTTTGTGCCACATGTAGGAATTCATAACTCTCCATCTTATATATAAGAAGGGCTGCTTGAAAACATGCCAACCTTTGCCCTCGAGGGAAACTTGTTTTTCAACCTGGTTAGAAGAGGAATGTGCTCTCTGCCCAAAAGGGAGACAATATCTCTAGTTTCTGAGCTTGTTTTTTGTATAAAGTATTTGTTAAAATATATAATCAAAAGCTGTCAATGCTATTTGTAGTACATATAGGTACAACATAGGAGATTTTCTCTCATCATTTCCTTATTAGCTAGCATGAGCTATAGTGAATCTTGGAAAACTTTGAGATGTATATATTTAAACCACACTGAAGCTGATATCTGCTTTCCTTTTTGTCAGTACAGATAATTAGAATACAAGAACAAGAATAGTAAATGTTACCTTATCAAATACATAGATAATTCTAATAATGGCTTTAAAGCACAATAATTACTTTTTCTCCTAATTAGTTATTAAATTATAAATGCTTTTTATCCAAATTTTGCTCTTAGAAGAATGAGTTTTGTAAAATTGTTTAATATCAGTTATTAGCATTATACTATTCAAACTTTGTAGTGAAACTGATGGGCTCATTTCCATATGATTTAATTATCAAATTAAATTACTGCTTTGTATTTCAAATTAACATTTGAGCAAATAACTATAGAGTAACTTGATTTTGTTTTGATATACTGATGTATTTCATACTTGAATACTGAATAATAAAAATCTCATTATGATTGAAGTTTGTTTTACTGAATATACATGACTTTATAGTGCTGCATTCTTAGTTTATTAATCTACAGTATGTGAGCTTTTATTCCCTACACTCTGATGCAAGAAGAAATCCAAAATCACCCAACAGAGACACCTAACCTGAGCCTTTTTATTTCATTTTACTAAAAGGAGTAATCCATGACATTTTCTATGTAAAACTAATGGTATCAAACACTAAGTATGCCACTTAAAAATGAGAATAAAATGTTCTTTGAACATTAACTTTTATTGTAATTTGAGGTTCCTTGGAATAATTTGCATGCTTTCAATTTCATTTTTCAAGTATTTATCACAAATTAGAATATGATTATCACACATGTGACGCAGTCTGATTCTTTCATAAACTTGGAATTGTTCCTGTTAAATATGTCTAAAATGCAATTTGCAAAGAGATATCCAATGCACTGATGATACCAGAATAATACACGGCCAATAGAAAACTTTTTATAAGATAAACTTTTAAAATAAAACATAGTTTTAAATCATAGGTAATAAAAATTTGAAATCATTAATATGGTAAAAGGCTGCCATCTTCAGGGTTTTATAAGATTATTTCTTTTAAAAATGTATTCTACATTCTTTACTAGTCTTGGTCATGTTAAATACAAGCTATTATTTTAAACACTGATTTCTGTGTATATTTGAAGTAGAGGACTTATTCTATACATATGAATAAATAAAATCAGTAGCATTCTGTAAATTCATACAATTCTAAGGGAATGAGATACCTTCCTGTTCCTTCATCTTTGATAGAAAATAAGTAAACCTGTGATATGTTGAGTGAGTTTGTAAATTTTTAAAATTAGAAAGCTCCATCTTTTCGTTCATTGGACTACATTACTCATTGATCTTTTTCCAGGCAAAAGCTTGATTCACCAGCTCTGGAAGTTATGAAAATTTTTCAGGTGGGCTTCTAGGGAAGCATACCTCTAGGATTCTTTAGATTCTCTTGATTTCCTCATGCTGACTTAATCCTTATTTTGTCATTTCAAAAATTTTAGCTTAATATATGCCTGTGTAATTTTTGAAAAAAAAAAGTGAAAGATAAATTATATCCAGGTAAATACTTTGTTTTACATTCAAACCATATTTTCAAATTTTGTTGAAGTTTACCAAGTAGAATATGAATTCTGTGGATGGCATTTTAACAGTAGCAAAATGAATTATTAAAGCCTAATTACTATTTTCATTCTATATCCAGTTAGGAAAAGTGAGACACACAAGGTATTTTTCTATATTATTTTTACTGACACCTACTTGATGGCACATTTTTTTAAAAACTACATATTCAAAAGAAAAATCAGATAAAAATTAAAATAATGTATATTCTAACAATATCTTTAATAGTTCCTGAATTATCTTAGTTTAATTATACATGCACACTCATTGCTTACACTGAATAATTGTATCTGTATGTGGAAAATTTAGCTCTACATGAGCAAATTTGACTTGTTGTTGATGTGGCTTCATTCTTAGCTTCATGAGCATTTGGAATTTCTGTCAAGTATACCCATAGATTAAATAAATTCTATGTGCTATTTCAAATATAAATACATGTTTATTAAATAAAGCTTAATATGCAAAAAGACTCCCATTAAACTGAATTCCAGCTGTGTTACATTATTATATGATGAAAACAGCATGCAGTTACTTCATGACCTGGGAAAATAATTAAATTTCCTGGAAATTGTTTCTATGCATTTAATTTTCCCTTAAAAAATACCTGCATTTAAGATTGTTGTAAAAAGTAACACATAGAGGCCAGTGCTGTGGCATAGTATGTAAAACTGCCGACTGCAGTGCTGGCATCCCATATGGGCGCCGGTTCAAAACCTACTTCCAATCCAGCTCCCTGCTAATGCACCTGGGAATGCAAGAAGATGGCCTTTGTGCTTGGGCCCTGCACCCTCTTGAGAGACCTGGAAGAAACTCCTGGCTCCTGACTTGTGCCTGGCCTAGTGCTGGCATTGCAGCCATTTGGAGAGTGAACCAGTAGATGGAAGACATTCTCTCTCTGTCTCTCTCTCTCTCTCTTTCTCTTTCTCTCCCCTCTCCCTCTCTCTGTCTTTCTGCCTTTCAAATAAGTAAATCTTTTTTTTAAAAGAAAAGTAACACATACAATGATATTAGCAGAAATTATGAAACCTTGTATATTATACATTATACAATCATTAATAGATATATAAAATGTAGTTATATGTGAGCACACATATAAAAGGAAAAATAGGCACAGATATTTGAGTTGCAAGAATCACAATGGAGAACTCCTTAAATATATGTGACAATTTGTGCATATGTGTGTGTGTGGGGGGGAGGTAAAACATGTAGATGATCATGGATGCTGGTGAAGGAATGAATCAAGAAAAAAGGATTATACTTTCATGCTAACAATTTATCATTTGTTCATTTCTATGTCAAATTACTTCACTTCCATCAAACAATTTTCTTGTTAGGAGTTTTTTCTCCCCATCAAAATTTGTACCTATATATGGCATATTTATAGATTTTTGAGCTTTTTTTGTAGGTATAGGAAATTACTCTTACTCTAATCAAACAATACAGCTTTCAATGCTTTAAATTTTTTTATTGAATTTATGGAGAACATTTCAGAAAACAAATTTAGCAGAGTCTCTGGAAATATCTTGTAGGACTTTGTGTATTCTTCTAGTACATATTTGCTATCTATGTCAAGGTCTTGTTAACATAGAATCTTTTAATGTTAACATTATTCTTATCCAAAATTAGATGTTCAGAAAGTGCAAATATTCTTGGTTCAATTGCTGACTAGATACACATCAAAGGCCTAGTACTTTGATGATCTATTTGTAACAGCAAGGCATATTCTCTTCTCTTCTAAATGTTTCTTATTGATATATCTTTGTGTTTCCTTATGCAACTCCATCTAACAGTACTAAAATATTTGTTTATGCAATTTTCTCTCATGTTGGAAGTGAAATTAATTTTTCAAAGTTCAATTTTTAAAAGGATTTATTTCAATTTAATTTAATTACCATTAAAACTGCAGGAATGTTGTCTAATGTCAACCAAATTGTTGAAAATATTCCCACAAATAGGACACACATATTTCCATCCATTATTGCATTCGACCACAGCCCTGATGTTATGGTGACGTTGCAAATAAGCCTCAAAAGATTTTCTAAAGAAGGTGTTTTCAATGTAGATTCGTGGGGCATAGAACATGGGCCTTGCAACAGTGTGATACTCACTGTTTACTTTGGTATCACTTGTTATATAAAACTTTCTGGATGTCATCCTCTCAATGGGGCACACCCTTGAGTGCCTTCTAAACACTATGTCTCCTTCACCATGGGTGAGGATGTTTGGGCGAGGAACAACTGCCATGTACTTTTGCTTCACACACATGGTACTTTGACTACTTGTGATCTGAGAGAGATTCCTCCCACTTAATGTACGGAGAATCATTCGTTTTATCTCACAATTGTTAATGAACGGGATTCTCCATGGGATTGAATGGTGGAAAGGAATCCTGCAATTGATGGTGCTATGAAAGTTGTCATTTTTGTCCATCTCCATTTCCCCTGAGTAGAATTTTGGCCTATTGACAAAGAAATTGCTTTTAACAATTCTTAGTGGAGGGACATTCAGATGTTTATCTCTCCCTAATCCTGAGATAAGAAAGCCCCATTTTCTAGGAATTGGGATCGGAACTAGAAGAGCCCTTTCATTGATGTCTTCTTTCTGAGGATTCTTTTGAATCTTCTCTGGTTTAAGCTCATTGTCTTCTGCTTGAGAAACAGCATTCTCCTGAGAGGCTGATGCAGTTGACTCCACATATGCCGGGTTGGTTTCTAGCTCAGATATACTGGGGTCAATGGCTGAAGGCTCTATGTCTGCATTACAGTCATTTTGAGCCTCAGTTTCAGCATTTTTGAGGGCACTATTGGCTGTATCACTTCCTTCTTTTGTAGGAGAAGTCATCCTGGGCTCTATTTGAGAGAAAGAAGACAAAGCATTATCAAATTGAGGAATGCTCCCCTTCATAAGAAATAAATGATTGAGTCCTTGCAAAAAAATTATGTGGATGTCCTGTTCCTGTATATCCTCCTATCCATCAGTATTTTAAAAGTCAAAAACCCACAAAATAAAATGGGGCAGTCAACATTGAAGGGAAATAGACAACTCCTATTAAATACATGTTCTCATTACTTATGGAGTTGTGTATAAACTTGAAGTAATATAATATCTCATTTTTTTTAAGTTTCAGCACTTAAGAAGAATTGTGTATTGATTACAGTATTCAACCAAAAGTATTAAGTAGAACAAACAAACAAAAATACTAAGAGGGATAACATATTAAGTTGCTTGTCAACAGTCAGGGTGAGGGCTGATCAAGTTTTTTGGCTATTTTTGGAATGTATTCTGTGTTCTAGAATGTGTCTGTCTACCTATCTCTCTGTTTATACACCCTAGATAAAAGAACATATATATATATAGAGAGTTATTACATTTTGGACAATGACATAAGTAGAATTTTTATTGAGTAAGATATATTTAACATACTACTTGGGGTTTAAGGACTAAAGTAAAAGGCAGCATATATAAGTATGAGGCTATTTCAAAATGTTCATGGACAAGAGCTGATCAAGTCACTGTTTCTCATAGTGTCCATTTATACTTTATCCATTTTAGTATTTTTTTTCTTCTAGTACCATTGGTTGAACTCTGTAATTAACACACAATTATTCTTAGGTGTTTAAATTTTAACTGAAAAGTGATCCCTGTTAGGAATTTGGAAAACATTATGCTGAGTGAAATAAGCCAATCCCAAAGGGACAAATACCATTTGTTCTCCTTGATAGGTGACAACTAACTGAGCACCAAAAAGGAAACCTGTTAAAGTGAAATGAACACTATGAGAAACGGTGACTTGATCAGCCCTCACCCTGACTGTTGATGAGCAACTTGATATGTTATCCCTCTTCGTATTTTTTTTTGTTTGTTCTACTTAATACTTTTGGTTGAATACTGTAGATCAATACACAATTCTTCTTAAGTGCTGAAACTTAACTGAAAAGTGATCACTGTTAAATATAAGAGTGGGAGTAAGAGAGGGAAGAGATGTGCAATTCGGGACAA